TGAAGCATTTGAGAGAATTGTGCATTCGGCCTTCAAACATCCTAGCTCGGGTACTCGAACTTTGACAAAACTTCTACCAAGTGAGGAAGTTTGTTCACAACCTTGTTTGAATCATCAACGGGAAGCAAACTCGACTCAAGCATCGAGCGAAGCATCTTTTCGCCCCAAAGATCTTACGTTAAACAAAAGAGAGATCAAATTTATTCACTCTTCTTCTATGTAAAAGGGATTTCCAATTTGTAATACACAATTCAACCAATACAAATTCAGAATCATCTTTTACGACCTACAATCACGAGTGAAAGTGATATATTTTGACAAATTTTTCTTTATGTATCATTATATACATCTTGTATGTTATAATTCTTTCTCTTTTTATTTTCAAAGATGAGTAAGAGATTTTATTCAACTATTAAAATATTTAACAATAATTTCCACTAGTTGCTGAAATTCATGCTTTTTTGTAGTTTTACTATAGGTTTTTGAAAGCATTTCCCCCCTAAAAACCATCTTAAAGATAGAGCATTTATATAGAAATCATCTTTCAATTTTAATTTATACATAAATCGCCTTCAAAGTGAGTTTTTGTTGCAATTAGCCACATTCCAATAAAATTTTTAATGAAAAGTCCAAAATTACTCTTAAAATGTCACATGCAAGGTCATGACTCATTTTTTAGAGTTTTGGTCTTGTTAGGATACAACTCACATATCTCAAACTTGAAAATTTTAAGCTTATTTTCATTTTAAAGTTAGTATTTGATTCGGAGGTAGGTTATTGTAACAAAAACCTATTTAAAGATACCTTATGTGCAAATTGAAATTAAAAGATTGTTTCTGTATAATTATTATATTTTGAAAGTGGTTTCTAGGGGACAAAAAAAAGTATCTGTATAGATATCTTATTTTAAGGTGATTTGTTCGAATGTTGGAACTTACCATTGAGAAAAAGACAAGCACACACTGCTAAAAAATAAGGTATCCTAGACGGAATTTTCCGTCTAGGATACTCAGAATTCCGTCTAGAATGCTTATTCTAGACGGAATTCCGTCTAGAATAGGCGTCTAGGATGTTTCCGTCTAGAATACATTATTCTAGACGGAAATTCCGTCTAGAATACATTCTAGACGGAATATTCTAGACGGAATTCAAAACCGTCTAGAATACATCCTAGACGGATTATTCTAGACGGAAATTTCCGTCTAGAATAATGTATTCTAGACGGAAAAAATTTCCGTCTAGAATAAGTATTCTAGACGGAAATTTCCGTCTAGAATACTTATTCTAGACGGATATTGATTTTTTATTTTTTTTTATTTTTTTTTATTTTTAAAAAAACATCCTAGACGGAATTTGAGTATCCTAGACGGAATTTCCGTCTAGGATACTATGCTACAGTAGTTTTTTTTTTTTTTTTTTTTTGCAGAATCTATATTAGGTGCATGTACACAATATTGAACAATAAAAAATTATATTCATATCCAACACAATCTAATTATATTTTAATATTAAATCCCATTATATTCAAATAATACATTCACCAAAATAGTAGAGAGATACATAAATTGTTTACAAACTTTAACATAAATTAATTACAATGGCTATGACACTACAGAAGCTTTTTCAACTCCTTCCCTATACATTTACTCAAGCCCTCTTCTCCTTCTTCAGCTTCTTCCTCATCATCCTGAGTGTAACATAAGGACACAAGCAATGCATCAATATATGTACAAACTGATCCATAAGGACACAAGCAATGCATATATATAAAAGAGATACCAATAGTTGAGAATAAACACGAGGTACCCCATGAAGAAAAGCCAAGGGTATTGCATAAATGAATGTACATCACATAAGTTCTGTTATTAGGCTACCAACCATAATTCAGGAAACAAGCATAAGAATGCTTACTTGTATACTTGCCACTCATAAGGTGGTCCATAATTTCAGCCTTTACTGCTTCTATGCTCGAACTTTATTGCTACCTAGCATGCACAAATGAGAAAGATTATGCATAACAGTTAATTAATAGGGTCTTCTTCGAGAATAAGGCACTTAAATTTGTTCTAGATTTATAGTTGATCAAATAACCTCAATAGCGCTGGAAGCACTTAGCCTATCGCTTGCATTAGTAGCTGAAATTCGGCGACCAACGTACACTTGTCCAAATCCTCCTTTTCCAATTTTCCTTTGAATTTTATAAACTGGTGAATTTACAATTTGGACATGTAAAAGAAAATCCAGGCTGAGAGCAAGCAAATTGAAAACAGTACAAAAAAGGAGCTATTGTCTATGAACGCATCAGTATGTTAAAATAAATATAGGAGAAAACATCCAGACGGTCAACAATCATGAAATTAGGGGATAAAGTGTTTTAAGGAAAATTTGCTTTCAGTGACTAACAACACGTCTCTCTTCCTTTAAAAAGAATCTGAATTATCGAGTAATGGTAGCAATCAACTAGCAACAACGCTATTGTTAATAAAGAGGATGGAAGAAAGAAAAGAAAAAACCAGGTTATATTTTATAGTGCAACATATGTTTATAGCTGCCTGTGAAAGCACTTTGGGGGCCATTCCATATCGGTGACAACATTAAAGAAGGAATTTGGTGCAGGAAAGTGCTAGGGCTGGGTTTTGGGTCAGCACATGAGTTTTTTCCAGTAAACTACACTGAACAATCATTGACAGGAACCTTGTATCTCAACAGAAATGTGTTCTCGTATCGGCAAACATTTATAAATCAACCTTTATCTTATTTTTGTTGACAAACAAAAGATTAGCAAGAAATAAACCTTCTCACGTAGTCAGTAACAGATATTTGGCCAGATTCCTGCATGTATATAAGTTGTCAGAATGATGACTGAATTTTAAACTTAACAGAAGGGTTTTATTCCATGTGTTCAGAGTCAGACAAGAAACTGTATGGTAATAAATTATAACAAAGGCAGCTGTCAGTGTTCAACTTACCACCATAGCATCCCAAATTAAGTGCATTCTTTCCTCTATACCTGCAATTTAGTAGTGCAGATAAGCTGGACTATTAAAATTGTTTTAACTCAAGTGACTCTAAACTGATACTAGTTCCATTCACACAAAGAGAGCATACCATTTACACCATTTGGAATCTTTCTGAAGTCATCAAAACCAAGAGTTGAATGTGCAATGATCAGTTCCAACAAGCTGCACCATACCAAAATGACCTTTTAGTTAATTCTCCTATTGTTCAAGTTGGAACAGGACAGAAAAAAGATAGATTACATATTTCAGCTGAACAACAAAATACAAAGTTGCAAATTATGGCACTCATGAACCAGTTATGCATTTGATACTGGCATATCACAGTTTTCAGGAACTAGTCAAAACCTTCATGACAGTCAAGTTAATAGCAAATCCATGATATATGATATCAAGACAGCCTTCTCATTCACACAAGCTAACTTAAAGATTACAATTAGAATCATAAAGACTACTAAACACTTTACATTCAGGATTAAAGAAGATAACTTTAGTGAAAGTTCCAGAGCAACCCACGTCAACTGACTATTCACCTTTTTTTCACAAGTAAACTTCTTCATTACAAAATTATAATCACAGTCGCAAGATAGTATTATAGAAAGCTATTAAACTAACCCAAGTCAACTCCTCATTCATCTAATAACTGCTATAAATTCATAACTAATTACCAAAATCTCATAATTAAAAACCAACCAACCCATCACCAAGATCAAATTTTGACACCAAATTCAGACACCCAAATCGCCAAAACCCAATGAAAAAAACAACATTTAATCAGTCTTAGCTTACCTCCTCGATCAAGTAACAGAACCACAGGCCCCCCAGACTTGGACCTGAAAGGGAGCCCACTAAAGGGGTTTCGGGCTGGAGGAAGTGGCGGCCTTATTGTGCTTCGCGACGGCGGGGAAGGGGAATGAGTAGTAGGTGGCGGCTGCGGAGGCGGCGACGAGGGCGGCGTAGCCCTGGTTTGGAAGGGGAAGGGGTTGGAGGTGGAGGCTTGTTTGGTGAACCCGAGGGATCGGGAGGTGAGGGTGAGGGTGGTGATGACGGTGACGGCCGGAGGGTTGGAGGGGATTAGGGTTTGAGAGAAAGATATGAAGGATTTGAGAGAGATGGGGTCTTAGATATGGATTTGAGCGGAACTGGGAATAAACTGAGGGAATGGAAAAAATTTGGGGGGAATTTTAAATTTTTTGTTAAAAGGGGTTAAAACATCCTGGACGGAAATTTCCATCTAGGATGAGTATCCTAGACGGAAATTTCCGTCTAGAATAACGGGTTATTTTTAAAAAAAATAAAAAAAATAAAAAAACCGTCTAGAATACTATTCTAGACGGAAAATTCCGTCTAGAATATTTTATTCTAGACGGAATATTCTAGACGGAATATTTCCGTCTAGTTTAATACATTCTAGACGGAAAAAAATCCGTCTAAAATATTCCGTCTAGAATACTTGGTTTTCTACTAGTGACAACAACAGTGGTATAAACCTTCTTATTCTCTTTTGGGGAGGAATTTCTTTCCACTCAAAAAAAAAAAAAATTTGAGCTGGAAATATTTCCAGCATTACTTAACTTTTTTATTTTAACCAATCTCCACATCATCCAAATATTTAAGTATTAAAACTCAACTTTCTAAGTTTTTTAGCTCGTTTTCTCACTTTTGGGGAGGAATTGCTTTCCACTCAAAAATAGTGTTTTCCTCACTTTTAAGAAAACATTTTTTAAACATTTTTGCTAAGACAAACAAAGGAAATAGACAGCCTTGGAAAAAAATTAGGGTTTTTTGACGATGTCAAAATCTTCCCACTCTAAAAAACGCGTCCTTTAAAGGAAGCTACTCTTGAAAACCCCCTATACACAATGGAAAACAAGAAAATCCATTTAGAGGTTTTAGCTCTAGCAAGGATTGGAAATCAATTAAGTAGCCATAAAATAATTAGACACTTGGGAATCTTTTTCTTCAAACCAAGCAAAAACACCTTGTTCCATGATGTTTATGAACCAAACAAACACAAGAAAATGAGAAAACATATTTTATAAACACATGCATTCCCATTTTCAACATCCCATCCAGTCTACAGATTAAAGTGGAAATTTATTTCAAACATTGATTTAAGGGCAAAACAAATAAACATAAACATTTTCTAAGTAAACTATGAATACTGAAAATTAGATTTTCGTTTAAAAATTAATTTCTTCTTAGTTTGGTAAACCAACCAAACAGCCCCTTTATCGTTTCTTTTAAAATTGGAAAATTATTTTTTAAATTGTAAAAAATCCAAGAACTAAAAAAAAAAAAACATTGTCGTGTCATCAATCTATTGAATATTTGACCGTGGACTAAGAAAATGATCACATTAATACAACACTTTTATTCCCCG